AGGCCGAGAGCCTGTTTGATTATGCCACGAGATGGCTTGTTATTGCTCTTGGGCCGTAAGGGGCTCCTCCCGGAGTCTGTACACCCCCAGTAAGCGCGGGTACCCAGTGTGTGTGAAGTGTTGTAGCCCGAGGAGCTGTTGTCATTTCATATTGAAGCCCGAGGAGCTGTTCTTGATCCATGTTTCCCGAGGGGCGGTTCTTGATTCATGTCATGCCTGAGGGGCTGATTAGGAGTGATTGTGAGGTAACCCGAGGGGCTGGTTCTGTTGATATTATGCCCGAGGGGCAGTTTATGGTATATGTTTTTCTCGAGGGGCTGTTTATGTTTCTATCAGTTTTACTCACTGTTTTGATCACTCGTTTGAAACTATTGAAAATTGTTTTTAAAAGGTTTTACCGAAACTGAGCATGATTTACTAAGTAAACGATTTCTGTATTGTTTTGGAAATGAACTGCTTTTGATGTAGCATTATGACGTGGCTTACGTGTTTTCTTACTGCTCAGCTTTTATTTACTTTTATTACTTACTGAGTTGGCGTACTCACATTACTCCATGCACCTTGTGTCCAGATTTAGGTAGTTCTGAACCCGGTAGCGGGTGTTGATTGCTCAGTGGCAGAGTCATTGGAGTTAGCAAGATAGCTGCCCGACGTTCGCAGCACTGCTTTTCTCCCTCTTGTCTTCCTTAGACTGTATTTAGTACATTTTAGATTCTTAGTTGTGTTCAGACCTTAGTAGATACTCGTCACTTGTGACACCCCGATGTCGGGCTTGTGTATTTATTTCGCACTGTTCATTTAGACTTACATTACAATATATCTTATTAATTAAAGGCTTAAAAGTGATTGTTATTGATTAAATAGTTAATTCGGGAGTTGTGTCAGCTGGCCTAGTTTCACGATAGGCGCCATCACGACTGGGTCGGTTTTAGGGTCGTGACAAGTTGTTATCAGAGCTTAGGTTACATAGGTTTCGCGAGTCATGAGCAAGTTTAGTAGAGTCTCGTGGATCGGTACGGAGACGTCTGTACTTATCCTCGGGAGGCTGCAGAACCTTTAGGAAAACTTCACATTCTTGAATTCTTATCGTGCGACATTGATTCAGCCTGAAATGTAACTCTTGAAATTCTTTCCACGCGTTCGTATGCGCGCATGAGCGCGCAGTATCAGCTGTGCATTGACGGCTTGTGATCCCCTGATCGAGAGGCGAGATGTGATTTCTGTGCAATGATGTTGGGCCAGTCTGGAGGACTTGAGGCCGGGTTTCGCCTGAAGCTTGAGCACTGAGGTGCTGATTGTGTGGGCGTATTTCTGGATCTATATGTTCTGGTGTGTCCCTATTAAGGGAAGTGATGATGGGATAGCTACGTGATGAGGGTGATGTGACTGCGAGATGTGTTCATATGAATTGAATGAGACGAGAAGGGTCTGCTTTAGGGCAGCAAGAACTATTTGGTGTTTGATTTCCATCGTGATTTGAGGTATAGCCCTGAGTTGTGGGCGTGTTGAAGGATCTTTTCATGTTGTCTAGTTGGGAAGCAAAGTCGAATTCATGTAGTGATATGAGTTCAAACTCAAGAATATTTGCATGATGTTTATGATGGTGGAAGGGCATAAAGAGATGTTAGTTGAGGCGTAGCAGGTGGGTTATCTCCTACAGAGTGTTCTGAGATTTGTGTGATCCTTATGTAATTGGTTGGGAGTCCTCTTCTACCAGTGAAATATATGCGTTGCAATTTGAATTTGGGGTCGCTTAAAAGAGTGGGCTCGACTATTACGAGGGTGAATGCGAGATTTGCAGGAGATTTGAAGTACTAGATGGTCTGTGTTGCACAAGCTTTATGAAGGATTGAGTTTAATCTCACTATGGTATTATGGCAGTAATAGAGCATATGCATTATGAGTTATTGTGTGTTTTGGTCTATGGCTTTGCGCCAGGTGGGGGAGTCTGCTATTGATTAGTCGATTGCACGGTTATGTGCTATGTTGGTTCCAGTTGGAGGCGTACTGGTGAATCAATTATGGCTCAAAAATTTTGTATAGTGTCTTATCTATATATTTTAAATGAATTTCAACTATACCCATTGAAAAAGTTCCTTTTTGCTTTGATTTTGGAATATTGTATATTTTTTTTGTATTAATTGTACATTTTTTACTCCTTAATTAAAGGAATCTGCACGTTCCTCTCTCCTAACCCCTAAGTCTCACCCACGTTTTACCCATACCCACGTTCTTTTTACCATTTTCCATCTTCTGAAACAAAATTCTCCCTCTAAATTCACAGAAATTTGAAGAAACCCTTCAACAAAGTTGGTCCCCATTTTACTCTTGAAGTTCATCAATGAAGAACAACAAAGTTCCTCAAAATTGAAGTCAAATCTTCAAAGTTCATAGACACATTTACCTTCATCTTCAAATTTTCTCAATGAAGAAGAACAAACCTTCAAAGAGACAAGAGAGCAGCAATTCCACCATTGACAGTCATTAAAAAGCTTTGAAGCTTTGAATTCAAATTTGGGTTTTTAAAAATCATTATTTGTTTTGATTGGGTGTTATTGAAAATAATTGAGAATATATTTTGGAGTTTATATCTCAATTTTGAGGGGTTTTGGTAAAGATTAGACTTGGTTTTGACTGAAATTCAGATTGAAACTCGAAGAAGAAGAAGAAGAAGAAGACATATTGCAGAAATTGTAGATAAATTGTAGATTGTTTTTTTGCAGAAGATTTTGTAGGAGTTTTAGTCGTTTTGGATTTGTGAAAACAGAAAACAATGCATCTACAATCAGAATACAAATAATCTATAATTTATCTACAAAATATCTACAAACTGGATACATTGAATTTTAATATCCCAATTCCCATTTCAATTGTAGCATAATTGGCATTTTCGACATAATTGCATTTTTTTCCAGAAGATTTGTAGAAGTTTTAGTCATTTTTGATTTGTGAAAACAGAAAACAAAGCACCTACAATTAGAATACAAATAATCTACAATTTATCTACAAAATATCTACAAACTGGGTACATTGAATTTTTATATCCCAATTCCCATCCAATTGTAGCATAATTGTGATTTTTGACATAATTACGTTTTTTCAGAAGATTTGTAGAAGTTTTAGCCGTTTTTTATTTGTGAAAATAGAAAATAAAGCATCTACAATCAAAATAAAAATGATTTACAATTTATCTACAATTTCTGCAACATGTCTTCTTCTTCTTCTTCTTCGAGTTTCAATCTGAATTTCAGTCAAAACCAAGTCTAATCTTCACCAAAACCCCTCAAAATTGAGATATAAACTCCAAACCATATTCCCGATTATTTTCAACAACACCCAATCCAAATAAATAATGAGTTTCGAAAACCCAAATTTGAATTCAAAGCTTTCAAGCTTTTTAATGGCTATCAATGGTGGAAAATATCTGGAAGAATATTTACTTCCATTGTAGCGCGCCTAAATAGGAATATCTGGAAGAATATGATTTGATCTGATTTACGCTAAATCTTTTTAGAATATTCTGTTCCTCAATTTTAGCTCGACAAATTAGGAAGATTCAGCTACTATTAACTAGTATTTAATGATTGGTATAATAACTGTAGAAAAAATATGGACAGGACGGGTAAATTAGAAACTATGAACATTTTTGGTAATAAGATTTCATATATGGTATAGGAAAGAAAAAATCTCTTTCTGTAAACATCCCTATAAATATGGGCTAAGCCCAATTACGAACAACTTAGCCCAAATCATTTGGTTCCCTAACATAAGTTGTATACTATTTAGGTGTTGTTTCCGAGGCATTTGCATTATACCCGCTTTTTGGGTCACGTTTTAACTTGTGCCCGCTTTGCAAAAAAAATTGCAAGCGTACCCACTTTTTCGCGTAACTTCAACATACGGGGCTGAAGTAGCAAAGACAATCACGCAAAAATTTCAGCATTCTAGTAGACGGACCTGAAGTAGCAAAGGCAATACGAACTTCAGCAGAAGAAGCTGAAGTTATTTAGTTCATTTGTAAAAACTTCAGCATTAAATAAGCTGAAGTTTTTTTTTGTCCTGGATTCATTAGTTTTGTCATAAAGCTTTTTCAAAAACTTCAGCAGAAGATGCTGAAGTTAGTTAGTTCATTTGTAAAAACTTCAGCACTAAATAAACTGAAGTTTTTTTTTTTGTTCTGGATTCATTAGTTTTGTCATAAAGCTTTTCAAAAACTTCAGCAGAAGATGCTGAAGTTATTTAGTTCATTTGTAAAAACTTCAGCACTAAATAAGCTGAAGTTTTTGAAAAAGCTTTCTAACATACTAGATAAATAATCACCTTATCCTTTCATAGTGTATTACTACTATAAAATAATCAGATTGCCAACATCATCTAAATCATAAATTTTTGAAACAATAAACGTGAAAAGAACAGAATTATCATGAAAAGAATCACTAAGTGTGACCTTAAACTTCCCGTACGTGGAAATATTCACAAATTATTATCTACTAACTTATGTAATTATTTATAATTTATTTTTAAATAATCTGATAAACATATTTATGTCAATCATCCATGAACTAAAGTTTCATAGCAACACCAACAACAACAGAAGAAAGAAGAAGAAGAAGAAGAAAATGAAGGAGGAGAAGGAGGAGGAGAAAGTGGGCTAAAGTTATTTAAAAAGTGGGTACAAGTTAAAACTTTTAAAAAAAATGGATATAGGTTAAATGGGGGCGACCAAATAGGACGCCCCGTGCAATTTTTACATTGTTTCCTTACTACTCCCTCCGTCTCAGTTTATGTGTACCTATTTACTTTTTGGTCCGTTCCAAAAAAATGACCAGTTTATAAATTTGAAAACAATTTAGCTTAAACTTAGAATTGTACCTTAATAAAAATTTTATAACCAAACAATATTGTACACTTTAGCACCATAAATTCCAAAATTTTCTTTTTTTCTTAAACTCCGGGTGCAGTCAAACAACTTTTGATTCCAATCTTCTCCGAATCCAACAATGGCGAGGACCAAATTTGAAAAACTACCTGAAGAAATCATAGTTGAGATACTCTCCCGTCTGCCGGCGAAGTTAATCGGCCAATCCAGGTGCGTATCAAGGCAGTGGTGCTCTATTCTCTCAGCTCCACAACTCATTAAAGCTCACCTCACTTTTCATTCCCACAAATATGAAGAAGAAAAACTCATTACCGTCTGTCGTTCTCAGTCTCTTCACGCTTTAACCTTTAACCAAAATGGAAATGGTGTCATTTCGAGAAAGCTTGACTTTCAGCAGCAGCTTTCAGACAACTGGGTTACTGTCGGTGGCTCCTGTAATGGCTTGGTCTTGGCTGTAAATGACAAACAAATTGCATTGTAAATTAACCCCACGACGTTAGAGTACCATAGAATTCCAGATTCTGGTAATGGTTCAATTGGGTGTCGTGGCTTTAGAATGTATGGTTTAGGATATGATTTTCGGAGTGATGATTATAAGGTAGTTACACTTTCTTATTATGCTACTGGTATTGATAATACGCCTGATATTTTTAATACTTCTGTGGCTGTGTACTCTGTGAGAAAGGGTCTTTGGAGGAGACTACTACAGAGCAAAGAGAGTCATTGGGGGAGACTCTATTCTAACGATTGTGCAGTTCCTGACAGTGCTTCTGGGGTTTTGGTTAAAAGGGCTTTGTATTGGTCGGCTCCTAACCGTTTGAGGCGGTCCCCTGATGTGGCAAATGGGGTTTTCGTAAGAGGGATTTGGGAAAATGGGGCTTTGCATTGGTTGGCTAGTGAAGGTTCTGACTATTCACCTGTAATTGTTGCTTTTGATATACTTGAAGAGAAATTTTTTGAGGTGCCAGGACCTACTACTGTAGAGAAGGGTACACATGTGGTCAGTAAGCTTGTGGCTCTTAGAAGGCGTCTTTCTATTTTGTCTGAAACAGAAGAAACGGATACTACTTGGACAATAACGAATACTATTTGGACGATGAAAGACTATGGGATTGAGGAGTCTTGGACCAGATATGAAGTTAAAGGATCGGATCTCGCTGAGTTGATACCATTTTGTTTAATGAGTGAGGATGATGTTGTACTAGATGCATGTGGAAGTTTGATTGTCTACAATAGGAGAGAGGATCAGTGGAGAGATATAATGGATGATAGAACTCCTATTATGTTGTATGGAGCTGGAACTAGAACCTTCAGGGAGAGTCTTGTTCCTCCCACCTTCTGAGATGATGCTACATACAGGTACTACATGAACTTTTTTTTGCGATTTCTTATAGATTTTTAATTATTTGAATGGTATTGACCCCATAGAGATAGGAATACTTTTGTGTCATAGAGTTTACTGATGGTAATTCTTCCCGAAGAAAAGATACAGTGATTACGGGGTCGTTTGGTTTGTATACAAAGTTATGCCGGGATCTGTAAGGATCATAGTACTAGGATTAATAATCCCTTGTCATATACTTTTTTGATGAATGTTTGGTTCATTTCATTGAAAATGGGATACATGGTGTATGATGAAAAGCATGCATTTGATTTTAAGTTGGATAAAGTTTTGTTTATAATTTACCCTTATCTTTAAATTAAATAAGAAAAAAGAAAGAGGTAATCAAGGATATTTGGTTTTCAGGTATTTTATTCAAAGACTGCTAATCCTGGCATTGGAATCCCATTTTGAATATAGTATAAAATAATACCAGAATTGTGGATAACATAATCCTGGTATTGCTTATACCGGAACAAATATCCAACCAAATGTGGGATAAAATAATCTCGAATTTTATACCATGTTTGTTTTCTAATTCCAGTAACCAAAAGACCCCTAACTGTATTACATGATAAGGAAAAACTTGTATTAGTGAATTGCCCAGCATTATAGAATGATGGTGCTTTGAGAAAAAAAAGAACAGTTCAAGTTTTGAGTATATGTAGTCTTGAAAGGAATAGCTTTAGATGTTTACTCTCTTCTTGAATCACGAGTTCATAAAAAAAACCGTGAGTTAATCTCACAGTCAACTCATGTAAAGCAGACCACTTCTGTGCATATTGTATTTATGCAATCTGAGGGATCTGATGGTGTATCTATATATATATATATATATATATATATATATATATATATATATATATATATATAAGGCTCAAACCTTCATGAATAGTCTTGTCTCTCCTTCCTTTGGCAAGGGAAGTGAAGGTTAATATATTCCTTAATGCTTGAGATAATGCTGTATAAAATATTCCAAGAATATTCCCGGGTTTTCTTGTTCATTTTTATATTTTTTTCAAAGTGATTTTTTAATTTGGTCGCCATATTTGATTCAATAAGATGGATGCCACTGATCCGTACAGTCTCGTTAATGGTAATTCTTCCTTCCTGGAGAAATATACAGTGATTACTTCATCAGAAAATATATAGTGGTAAACTGTATTACGTAAAAAGGAGTTAAGCTTACATATCATACTTGGATTTATGTCAATTCAGCATTATAAGATGGTGGTGCTTTAAGGATGAATAGTTAACTTTGAGCATATGCAGTCTTCAAAACAAAGTTTTATATGTTTCCTTCTTCTCTGAATCATGAGCTAATCTCAGAGTGAACTCATCTAGTACTATTGTTGGCTCTTCTTTCTATGCTTTACATTTTAAAGCAATGTGAAGATAAAGCTGCTATCTAGCTTCTCTAATTCTGAAAAAGAGTTTATGTCATCTATCTCCTTGATTATGACCACAGAGACTCCTAAAATCAAGATTTATCAGTACTTATCGCTTAAGAAGGTAACTATAGACGAAGCGGATGCTTACTGAACTCTTGATGCAGAAATATATTGTTATTTTCAGGTTTTAATTTATTTGCCACAGTAGGAGTGGATCATCCAGCCGACGGTCTTTCGGAAACAGCCTCTAAGGTCTGCGTACACACTACCCTCCCCAGACCCCATTAGTGGGATTTCACTGGGTCGTTGTTGTAGTAGGAGTGGATCATCCGTAGTAGTATCAAGGATCCCCCCCCCCCCCCCACACTCACGCAACAAAATTTGGTTTAGTTAATTATAGAATTAATTGTTGATGGCACAAGACATCAGTTTATGGCTCATCCACTTCTATAGCGCCTTATAATACCAAACTGACATTGTTCTGATGCTTGCACAGGAATTCATCTGCTTCCGTGAACATGTTCTGGTGCTTCTATTGAACGGTTTCTTGTGTTTGTGCAGAGGGCCGAATCTCTGTGTCTCTCTCGATGCATTTTTTGAGCAGATCCTCGTTCTTGAGATTTATTTTGTTGACTGTATATCTCAGTTTAGTTTCTGAACATTAGATGAGTAGATGATCTGAGTAACTATTTGCATACTCATTTGACAAGGGAGGGGTTTACATTAAGGTTTAACTGTCATGTTAAAACAGCAAGATAGTCCTTTTTGTTGCAGTATCAAATTTTCCAGCTTTGCTATGTTTTAGCTTATCAGATATAACTCTGCTTATCATAACCGACACCTCTAATTGTCGATAAATTCAAGATCCAAGCCTTTCCTGTAGGTGATTAATGGAGAATGAGGTCAATAAGTAAATACAGGAAAATGTTTATGCCCTATAACCTGCAATTCTGAATATGAACCTTTAGTTTTTGTCAATTACTTAAAAAGATAGCCCTGAGACATTCATATTTTCTCCTACTTATGCTTTGTATTGTGTGAGAAAAACAACGCATCAATGCAATGACTGTTAGCAAAATGCTATTATTGAGTTTTTCCAATAATATTGTGCGTATTGTCTTCAGATTCAACCATTCTGACTATTTTAGCCTATTACTACATGTTATCTTTTTATAAATTTGTGCCCCTTTTCTTTAGATAATGCTATTCTTCCTGTTTTAGGCTTTTAGCCATTAAGCAGATTATGAAGATCTACATCAACTCATTATCCTAAAATTAATACAGTATTCATAAGCAAGGGGTCCCTTAATCTGCTTGTTATTTCTACCTTCTTTTGTGTCAAAAACTATCTAAGAATTTACCTCTTTCTATCTACTGTAAATCTGTAATAATTAAGAGAACACGTTATATGCTTGGTTTCCAAACTGTTTTGCAGCAAGACCCTTCAATGAAAGAGCATCCCGGTGCACAAAGTATCTTGCATTTGTGCAGGGTTCGAAAGGATCGCACCCCTAGGAGTGTGATGAAGACAGCCTACCCTATTGTAAGCATTAGTGGCTGCTTCACGGCTCGAACCGTGACCTATGGAAAGAACTTCATCGTTGCGCCTACGTGTAAGTTATTTCCTACGTTATATGTGGCCCAATAAGATTAGGCCCATAATTAATATTTAATTAATGAGCAAATTTCATCCGTCCGATCGGTTACTTGATGGACGTACCAGATTAAATAAGAACCTCTATAAATTGGTCCTCTCCCCACCGGGTTATCGTATTTTTATTCTCTCTTCCATCACTAAAGTTGGCGGTAACGAAAGCTAGGGCAAGGGGCGAGAAACCAATTTACCGATTAACGCTTCCGCTTCAACATAATGGATTCCGCTTCAGGTATGTTTTCTATGACGATTATATGTAAGATTATCATGTTCAAGATCCTGGTATGAATTAAAATTTATGCTTACATATGGTATCACGAGCCTGGATTATTTGAACTGATAATTTTCGCAAAAGAAAAACTATATCATTATGTTGATCCGTACTGTTCTAATTGGATCTTCGATAATCTCGTATCTGATTCCAATTCTTTTAATTTGAGGATACACAATAAAGTATGAAATCTCTTTCGTGAATTGCTAGTAATAAATTATGCCAAAATTTCTATTTGAACGAAGAAAGGTCGGACTCGTTGTTTAAAGAATTTTCGGCGTTATGTTCCTCCCTATATTGTCCTGTCATAAATTTTGCTTTAATGTTGCTTTAGTTAAAATTGATATTGGGAATGTAGCGTTCTCTTTAAAACAGTAACCTTCAATATTTGATCTTTCTTGTATTAGGTATCCATTTAAAGTCTGCCACATATATTTATGTTATCTTAATTTCTTCTTTTGGATGCCTTAAGGATATTTTGTTCCAACGTTACTTCTAAGCCATTATGAAAGATTTCCTTTATGAAAGATTAGTTACTGTTTAACCTTAGGCCATAAAGAAATTTATTTGATCTATTTAATTTAAGTATTTGGACTATTAAGTTGGTGAAGTCATTTATTATTTATTTTATGTATGTGATTAATGTTTATATAGTTTGTTAGTCACCAAAGTGATCAAACTAGATTATTTAAAGTATTCACATGCATAAAAATCTTATGATCTCTATTTTGTGTGTGCTATGTTATATAGTTTGTTAGTCACTAAAGTGGCCAAACTAGTATGTTAATGAAAATATGCATACATAAAATAATAGTTTATCCATGAAATCAATAAAATGCTATAGTTGAAAAAAAATTAGTGGATAAATTAATTTTCACTATTGCTAGAACTTAAGGATTTACCCAAAGGTGCATCAATTATTCTATGAATAGTGAATATGATGAGGTAATTAATATTCTTAGTCAAATATATATTGTCTGTCAAAAATATTTAATTGCCTATTAAAGACTAAATGGCATTTAAATTATGATAGTGTATCGTAGTATCTACCTAAAGGAGAATTGCGATATGTTTTAACTGTTTTGTTGAATCCATATTGATTTGTGAGCATGTATTATCTATTTTGCAGCTATTCCTTTTCATTTGCTTGCTTCGTCTGTTACTGTGTTCAATGGATTGAACTTCTCTGAATGGCGTGAACAAGTCCAGTTCCACTTAGGTGTGATGGATCTTGACTTGGCTCTGCTAAATGATAAGCCCGCTGCCATTACTGATTCGAGCAGTGCGGATGAGAAGTCTTTCCATAAAGCATGGGAACGCTCTAACAGGCTAAGCCTTATGTTTATGCGAATGAATATTGCTAACAACATTAAGAGTACTATTCCACAAACAGAAAGTGCCAGGGAATACCTGAAGTTTGTGGAAGAACGTTTTCGTTCTGAAGATAAGTCTCTCACTGGTACACTAATAGCTGAACTCACGACCATGAAGTTTGATGGGTCGCGTAGTATGCAAAATCATATCATCGAGATGACTAACATTGCAGCAAGACTTCAGACCTTGGGGATGAAAGTGGATGACTCCTTCTTGGTTCAGTTTATTCTGAACTCGTTACCTCCTGAGTATGGACCTTTTCAAATTAACTATAACACTATTAAGGATAAGTGGAATGTTAGTGAATTATCCAGTATGCTTGCTCAGGAGAAGTCAAGACTTAAGAAACAAGGGAGTCATTCAATTAACCTCAGGGGTCAAGGAGCTGGTAAAGGACTTAAAGTGAAGGCCAACAAGTTCAAGAAGAAGAAAGCACCTGCTAAAGCTCAACAAGATGCTAACAAGGAACATAAGACAGATACGTGTCGTTTCTGTATCAAGGAAGGACACTATCAGAAAGATTGCCTGAAACGTAAAGCTTGGTTCGAAAAGAAAGGTACAATTAGTGCTTTTGTATGTTTCGAATCAAATTTAGTAGAAGTTCCTAATAATACCTAGTGGCTTGATTCTGGTGCAACTGCTCATGTATCTACTACGTTGCAGGGATTCCTTACAATCCAAACTACAAATCCAAATAAGGATTTCTTATTCATGGGAAATCGTATGAAGGCTCCAATTGAAGGCATATGGACTTATCGTTTGATCATGGAGACTGGACGTCACCTTGATCTATTATAGACTCTTTATGTACCTTCAGTTTCTAGGAATTTGATTTCTCTTTCAAAACTTGATGTTTCTGGATTTGATTTAAAGTTTGGAAATGGATGTTTCAATTTATATAAAGATGCTAATTTTTATGGTTCTGGTTTTCTTAGTGATGATTTATATAAATTGAAGCTCGATATTGTTTTTTCTAAATCCCTTCTTAATGTTCAACATAATGTTGGAATTAAACGTAGTTCACTAGATGAAAGTTCTGCTTACTTGTGGCATAGACGTTTGGGTCATATATCCAAAGAAAGGTTAGAGAGATTAGTAAAGAATGAGATTCTTCCGAATCTAAATTCTACTGATCTTACTATATGTTTGAATTGCATTAAGGGAAAGCAAACCAAGCATAGTAAGAAAGGTGCCACAAGAAGCACCCAACTTCTTGAAATTATACACACCGATATTTGTGGACCCTTTGATGTTCCATCTTTTGGTGGAGAGAAATATTTTATCACTTTTATCGATGATTTTTCACGTTATGGATACATTTATTTGCTGAAAGAAAAATCTCAANATTGATTTAGAAGAATGACTCTCAACTAGGAAGCTTTAAAGTTGGAAGAGTTGACCGAGTTTGACTTTTTAGTATTTGACCTCGGATTGGAGTTTTGATGGTTCTGTTAGGTCCGGATGGTAATTTTGGACTCGGCCATATACACGAATTTTGTATTTGGATATTTCTAGAAGGTTTTCGGTGCTAATTGGCGAAAGTTTGAAAATTTAAAGGTTTGGAATGTTCATAAGTTTTTACCGGGAGTTGACTTTTGAGGATATTGGGTTCAAATTGTGATTTTTGGGGATTGTAATAGCTTCGTTATGTCATTTCGGACTTGTGTGTAAAATTTGAGTTCATTCCGAGTTGATTTGATAAAGTTTGGTGTATGTGGCCAAAATTGGAAAGGCCGATTCCGCGATCAGCAAGACATTGCGCAATTTCACCCCGAGGGGCCGAGGGAATAGCTCGGGGTTCGAAGTCTTCGAGGACTCTTCATGCCCGATATCAGGGTAGAACGAGCCGGTAAAGATTCATTGAGAATGGTGAAGTTAGTGGGAGTGTTGAAAAGCAAAGTGTGGAAATTAAAGAGGTGAGGGTCGATATTCTATTTCCCAGAAATGTGCCTACTTCCACACAAATACCAAATATTGTTCCAGTTGTTGAAGAACACTTTGACAACACCGAGCAACATTTGGATGAAACACTTCATGAAGAAACTAACTCACAAATATCTGATACAAATAAACCACAAGAAATGCCATTAAGAAAATCTCAAAGAGTTAGAAAATCGGCTATTTCGGATTATTACGTGGTTTATTTGCAAGAGTCAGATTTTGACATTGGTTTTAATAAGGATCCGGTTTCATTTTCACAAGCCATAGAAAGTAATGATTCTGACAAATGGATTTATGCCATGAAGGAAGAGTTAAAATCCATGGAATACAATAAAGTCTGGGATTTTGTTGAATTGCCAGAAAGTTCTAAAAGAATCGGGTGTAGATGGGTCCTTAAGACCAAACGCGATTCAAATGGCAATATTGAGAGATACAAAGCCAGACTTGTTGCCAAGGGTTATACTCAGAAAGGAGGCATTGATTATAAAGTGACCTATTCACCGTCTCAAAAAAAGACTCGTTAAGAATTATTATGGCTTTGGTGGCTCATTATGATTTAGAGTTACACCAAATGAATGTGAAAACTGCCTTTCTTAATGGAGATCTCGAGGAGGAAGTGTATGTGGACCAACCAGAGGGTTTCGAAACTAAAGGAAAGGTCAAATGGTGTGTAAACTGAAGAAGTCAATATATGGACTCAAACAAGCCTCACGACAATGGTATATAAAGTTTAATGATACCATAACATCTTTTGGATTTGTGAAAACAAGTTTATATTTTTAGTCCTATATGTTGATGATATTCTACTTGCTGCTAATGATTTGGGCATATTGCGTGAGACTAAGGATTTTCTCTCTAAGAATTTTGAAATGAAAGATATGGGTGAGGCAACCTATGTGATAGGAATAGAAATATTCCGTGAAAGATCACAAGGATTATTAGGATTGTCTCAGAAAGGCTATATCGATAGAATTCTAGAGAGATTCAATAGGAACAATTGTTCAGCAAGAATTGTTCCAATTCAAAAAGGGGACAAATTTAGTCTCATGCAATGTCCTAAGAATGATGTAGAGCGAAAAGAAATGGAATCAATTCCTTACTCTTCTATTGTTGGTAGACTGATGTATGCTCAGACTTGTACAAGACCGGATATTAGCTTTGCGGTCGGAATGTTAGGAAGACATTAGAGTAACCCAGGAATTGATCACTGGAAAGCTGCAAAGAAAGTTTTGAGGTACCTGAAAGGAACGAAGGATTACATGCTCATGTATAGGAGATCCAAGCATTTGGAAGTTGTTGGATACTCGGATTCAGATTTCGTTGGATGTATTGATACTAGAAAATCCACGTTTGGTTATTTGTTCCAATTAGCTGAAGGAGCAATATCGTGGAAGAGTGCCAAACAGCCTGTCATTGCTATATCCACGATGGAAGCAGAATTTGTGGCATGTTTTGAGGCCACAATTAATGCATTATGGCTGCGAAACTTTATTTCAGGACTTGGGGTTGTCGACACCATTACCAAGCCGCTGAAAATTTACTGTGATAATTCTGCAACAGTATTCTTCTCCAAGAACGATAAGTACTCCAAAGGTGCCAAACATATGGAATTAAAGTACTTTACCGTCAAGGAGGAAGTTCAGAAACAAAGAGTGTCACTTGAGCATATTAGAACAGATCTCATGATTGCAGATCCGTTAACGAAAGGTTTACAACCAATGATATTTAAAGAACATGTACATAGAATGAGTCTTGGCTGTATTTATGATTGATGTGTTTATGATGTTTTGACACTCTGAGCTCATTTATATGTTTCTGATATACATTAGTGATTTCCTATTTCTCATAATGGTGTACACATTATTGTTTTGAGATATTACAGGATAAGTCTCAAGGAGACATTATTGTGGACCATAAAATTTTTTAGCTTATGAACCTGATACGATGAATTACTAATGTTGTAGTATATGGAAGGGAGTATGTAGACAAATTATGTATAACCGCCATAACTCACATTTACTAGTTTATCGTATTATGGTATTTATGATGGACATTATAGAAGAGATTTGTTTATGCGCAACTAATGTTCCTATATTAAATATTGATATTATGTGATTATTGGGCCAAGTGGGAGAATGTAAGTTATTTCCTACGTTATATGTGGCCCAATAAGATTAGGCCCATAATTAATATTTAATTAATGAGCAAATCTCATCCGTCCGATCGGTTGCTTGATGGACGTACCGGATTAAATAAGAACCTCTATAAATTGGTCCTCTCCCCACCCATTAGGGTTACCGTATTTTTATTCTCTCTTCCATCACTAAAGTCGGCGGTAACGAAAGCTAGGGCAAGGGGTGAGAAACCAATTTACCGATTAACGCTTCCGCTTCCGCTTCAAGATAATGGATTCCGCTTCAGGTATGTTTTCTATGACGATTATATGTAAGATTATCATGTTCAAGATCCTGGTATGAATTAAAATTTATGCTTACACTACGCTCCTTCAGCAAGACCTTTAATCTTCTTGTTAATTTCTTAGCTGCAAAATTAGCATCATCAGCAGTCAGTAATGCCACAAAGACAACAGCTGGTTTGTTATGTCTTCAAGTTGTTGCAAAGTATTGGTTGGCTATCGTGGCAAAGCTAGGAATTTCGCTAAAGGGATTCAAGATTTAAACTTAGTTTTATTCGTATCAAAGTTTAGTAACATATATTATGATTCTAATGATATTTTTCTTTTCAGAATCAAACCAAACATCAATCTTCTAAATCAAACTCAGTACTACTCTTCCAAATCTAAACCCAAACGCTACAATTGTTTGTTAAAGCAAAAAGGTTATTCTAAAATCAAAGCAAAATGGAACTGCTGTCAAATTCAAAATGTCCTCCAAATGTTGGGCCCAATTTAAGTGAATCTTCCTTAAACATAGCTTCATTCTGACTATTATATATAGACAAGGGTAGCTGGTAAATGTCTGGCAAAGCCAAAAGAATTGAATAGTTTCAATAGATTTTTGGAACATTCCAGGATACAGAAAAAGCATGCATAAGAAGGCAGTTTATTTGCTTTTTTACCAACAATTTGACGTTGAATTAGTATTTTGCATTTTATACAGGAAAATGAGGGTAAAAACTTGTGCGCACTCTGCAGTTTATACTAAACTAATAAATACATGATATATGTTTTTGTATACATTCCTACCACTAAATCATAATTAATTAATATACATTCTCACCTTAATTATGACTTAACAATAATAAATTACTAGTATTATTTGATGTAACACCTAGTACGCCTAAATTTTTACTGGAAAATACTCAAACGCTCTAAGAACATGCAACTCTTAACATTATATCATTGTTTTAAGAACATGCTTATGGTCTGATACACGAAAGAAATGTACCTTGTGACATCATATTTAAGAGGGACATAGTTCCAACTGCCTTTTATTGTTGGGTATCTTCTAAATAATAGAAGTGCAATTACATGACAATTAATGCCCTATTCTGATAGATTGTGATATACAACATGCTCAACTGGCTCTTGGCTTCCCCAATTGATACAGCTCTTCATGTTTTGCTGTCTATTTCTATCTTTGGAATGTAGCAATTACTACTTTTGGTCCCTCAAGAATGTTGTATCCTCGGTCAATTCCACTTGTTAAACATGGCATATGCATTTTGCCAAGTTGCTGATTGACCTCTCTGGAAGGGGAGCATTGGAGCATCAGTAACGTTATTTTCGTATGACCTATAGGTCACGGATACGAGTCGTGGAAGCAGCCTTTAATGCGTGTATTAGGTTATATTGTCTACATCACAACTCTAAGAGTGAGGCCCTTCCCGGAGCCGTGAATGCAAGATGTGCACGGAATTGCCGGGGCAGATTGACCTCTCTAAGCCTTACCAC